GGGCTGCATCGGAGGGAAAACCTTTCAATCTACAGTGCAGTTTACAGGACGCTAGTGCTTCTGCTGATTCTAAATGGTTGATCAGGTCCAAGGGCTGGAGGGAGAACGAACTACTAAAGCTAAACTTTGATGAGGTTATAAACCAGCAACCAGGTCATTTTAAGCTATGAACCATCATTTTTGTAACCAGGATCAGCAGGCAGCAGGAAAACTTTTATTTTTTTCATAGTTTGCTTTTTTTTATGGTAGAGAGGCCCTGCCTGAACATGCCTGATCGCCTTTGATCTTCAGTCTGGTCTTCCAAATTACTCCTTAATGATCTTAGGCTGCAGGTTAGCTTCAAAGGTGTTTGAGTTCAGCGTTGTTGCTCTAAGCTAAGCCATGCAGCAAATGTAAAAACATTGGTAAAGATCGGTACACCGAGAGATTAATGCAGGCAAAAACCAGGCTAATGGACTCATTTGTTTTTGTGTGTGCATGCTGTTCCTTGCACTGGTTCATCAAGGCCGGCAGGGCAGTAATGGATGGGTCTGCAAATAACATTGCTGTATAATAAATGTTATCATCCAGTCAGAATCTGGTTTGTCAGGGGGCATTGGTTGCTAATTGCAATGCTGCATTAAGCATTTATAGTACAAAGTTGTTGATAATCTTAGGACAAAATGGAATGCCAGGCAGCAGAAATCTTTTATCATTCATTAACAAGGGATTCTTCCTTCAAGAATCCAAAGATTTCTTAAAATGTTTCTGAACAGGAATCACATAATACAGTGGTAAACGGGCCTTTTTCTAAGTGCTTGTTTATGTATGCTGCTGGTGTTTTTACTTTTTCCAAAGCTGATTTAGTCAGTGAAGATACTGATAAATGTCTGTGACATAAACACTCAAACTACTAATTTAAGTGTAGCTGTTTTTTTCCCTTCAAATCGTGGTGTAGATTTAGGTCATGGTATAACTATCAAGAACCAAGAAGAAGTGTAGAACTTCATTTGTCTTTACTCTTTTTTTTTTACTAAAAAAAACAACAACTTTACTTTTAATTCTAGAGAACTGTTTGAAAGGAGACCAGTAAGATATAAACTGAAACTGCTAATGAAGATGAAGAATGTGCTTAAAGAAAACTTTTATTACAGAAATACATTCATGCTTAAACAACTGGCTGACCTAATATTATTATCACAATTCTGAGGACAGAGGTTTGATTATGAAGGACAATATGATGTTTGTATACATAAAAAAAATTAAATAAAAAGCCGATTATCTTTTTGCATTTCTATTATCTGTTTATGCATTCATTTATTTTAGGAAAACCGATCTAAAAAAGAATGATCGATTTTTCCATTTCTCGTCGTGAAAGTTATTGCAGTAACCACTTTGGCCGATAGGTGGCAATAGCTATAGCATGAATTGCAAACACCGTCCAACACCGAGAAGAAGAAAGTGAGGAATAAGTAAGCGTAACTAACCATGGATTGTTGCAAGAGTAGATGAACTCAACGCCTCTATAAGTCAAGGTAATCGTTATATTGTGGGAGATTTAAGTCATTTTAAGCGGACAGTCAAACAGAGAAACATAACTTAAGTCAACATATCTGCTAATAATTTCTTCTCCAGCTAACGTGTGCTAACATAGGCCACTGTGAAACGTTTTGTCAGTTTTTTGAAGGATGGTTTCCTTTAACGTGTCCCACACACCCAACACTGAGGATGATCGGAGTTTAAAAGAGTGTTTTAGAAGTTTTGTATCGAACACATTCAACGAAAACGTCGTTGTAAATCCATAACTGTCTTAGTTTTAACTGGAGCTGTGACATAAGATTTATTTGCGTTAGTAAAAGATTATAAATGGTGATGCTGCCTCCATGAGCTGACCAGAAACTAAAGTTTATCTGTATGGCTAATGGGGAAACATAGATTTAATTACTTTCTAGTTTAAACCCATTTCAATGTTTTGTATTTGACGTTGGAATGTCTATGGAGCTGTTTCCCTCACACATAAACAGCAGTGGTGTGAATTTAACAATAAAACACATAAAAAGTTCCCACTGCCATTTGAGAAAGGTGCGATGGAAAATACCTGTTATTGCTATTAATGACATACTGCTCAAATCCTTTAATTTAATTATTTTGCCAGACCTAAATCCCAGCGCATTGGCAAACTTATTGTTTTATACTTGATGGAATTACTATCTCTTGTAGTTTTTTGGCAGTGTCTGAATTTGTGAGCTGTTTCTTTTTATATAAATAATTACACCTCTGCATGTCTATCTTTTTTATACAGCTCGTTTTTATTATCTTATAGATAGCCGACATCCACATAATCAAAGCAGATATCAGTGTAACAGGCCCAGCGCAGATTCTGAATGTGAGAGATAAACTCAAGAGTTCTGAAAATCCTTGAAAAGGTAGTCGCCAACACATATCTGTCCATGTGTGTGGGCAGTTTCTGCATGTAGTGTTTTACAACTATAAGTTAATTCTGTGTTTTTTAAAGAAAGAAAAATAACTTTTCCTACAACGCAAAAAACAGCAGATGCTCATATATGTGTTATAGAAGAAAAAGAGGTGTAATTTGATTATTGAGTAAAAACTGCAGCGTGTTGTTAAAGTAAAGGTTGTCATCTGTTGGATTTAATCGTCAACAAAAGCAGGCTAGGTCCACAGTTCATGGTACATCATTTTGTTTGCTCTTTATCAATATCAGAGCAGACTAACATTGAAACAAGGCCAATTCCTTCTAGTCTAGTTGGGTGCGCTGTAATCTGCATCCTGTGTGAAACAGGATATCGCAACTCCGTCTGTGCTGACGGTTTATTTTCTTAGTAAGTCTGAACTACAAATATCATTATAATACCAATACAATGCTTGCTTCCAGTGTAATTTACCTGGATTAGAACTGTCATTCCAAATTTCTTTCAAATATGACATTTTTCTTCTGCTAATTGTTTGATCATGAGATGTTAAAAACTTAGGCCACAAGAAAGAGAAGCAGCAATCATGTGATACAGAGTTTGGGGGGGGGGGGACACAGAACTGTGGGGGAGTCTTCTTCGACTTTGACTATCAGGAATAATGCCGCATGGTCTGCGTTCTGTGTTCTCAGCCAATCAGGAGCTGTGGCCTGAATCGTTCGGGCGATCTCACACAGCCCCTCCCCCTGCTCAATTCTCTCCACCACCCAGCCCTTTTCTCTTCCTTTCTCCTTATGCTGTGTGCTGGTCCGTGCATTTCCTTCCTCCGTTGCCATATGCGGCTGGGACTGAAGTAATTTAACCAAAGGCTTAAGGGAAAAAAGAGCCACGTGGGATTTTTTAGTCAGTTATCCACAGGGGTGTTAGATGGAGAAGAAGGCGGGTTCTTTGTGTAGAAACCCTCATGTGAGTCAGATGACCAATTTTTTCTTTTCTCTGCCATCCCTCTGATATTTTTATCACTGTTGTTTAATTGCTCCCGTCTCTCTCACTTGGTAATTATTTCTGTTTTGCATGCTTGGGCTCTCCATCTTCCTGGGGTGCTGTGTCATCGCTGCCTCTGCTTTCTGCATGCGTCCCCGCCCCCATACGCTACGCTGGCTGCTCAGACTGTCTTGTGATGCTTGGGGGAAAGCCGTGGTGTGCTGAGTCTCATTCGTTGTAAATTAGTAAATGCCAGTTTCAAGAAAGGATTTGTGTGCGTGCGAGACCCACCTATCAGTCCTGATTTGACTCATTACAGAGAGGCACATACTAGTCTGAAAAAAAGTGATCCAGATCGACTCAAACAACTCATTTTACTCAGCTAAATATAACTTTGGAAATGGAACGAATGAACAACAGTCAATCGTATTACAGAGGGAACTCTGAATATCTGGAGTATTATGTGCCATATTAGACATCTCATAGTCTCATAACATTGATGGATCACAGCTTGTCAACATACCCTGGATAACCACTTATTAGTTACCTGTGAATTACTTTGGGGGAATTCTTGTTCTCTTCAATTCCTCCTGTCCTTTGTGGCTAAAAATAAAATAAAACACACCCATTTGACTTTCATGGTAACATTTCGTGCTGCTCCCAACCAGTCAATCTGTTATATTTGACTTCCAGTTGGTGTGACCATTGTCAAATATTTAAAGTACCATCAGACACCCTTTACATTTTTTTTTTTTTATTGAATCGAAAAATCCCTACATTGTTTTTCTTTTCTTCTCAAATCGATAGGCTCTAGTCCCCCAGCAACCCTTCTTGGAATAGGCAGGTACAAATAATGAATGGAAGATCTGATCCTGGGTGCAGATAAGACAAAGACAGTCGGATTTGACTTGCTGCCCCTTTTCTTTTTTCCTTTTTCTGAAGACTGATAACCGGAAAATATTATGACTGGCCCTGACTGGGAAAATGACAACGCTTACAAACTAGACCAAACACTATTACAGCTGCAGGATATATGAACAGGTGAAGAGTTTTTCATAGGATGTTGTGGATTATTTCCTTATTGATTTGCTGCCGGACCCCACCTGCATTAAGTATTAAGTTATAGCTGGCCTTTCACCCTCTTTATTGCCATTTTCTTACATTTAAATGTAGTTTAAAGCTTTGTGTTTTATCTGACAGCAGAAAATACCAAATCTGTAACATTCAGCAAAAAAAAGTGGAACAAATAATTTGATACATATTGCATAACAACACATTGATGCTAGGGCTATGATTTGCTTCCCCAACCAGGATAGATAAAGACATTTTATTAGTATAACCTGCTGAGATGTGATTGGATGTGTGGCCTTTACTTTGCCTTGTAAAGCTGCTTGCTCAGTTCCTCTAAGAGTACGTTTGCATGTTGATCTTAAATAAGTGTATAGCATTTTTAGTGTAGTCTTGTTGTGTGTTTTCATGCTTCAAATTCTGAAAACTTGGAAAGGCCCCAGTGAGTATGACCTGTGGGTGGATTTTTACTCCGATGCTTTTTGGAGAAAATGAATGGGATCTCATCAGCTCTTTTTTTTTCTCTCTGTTTTCCAGGAGCTGTACTTCCTGAGAATGCAAAGGAGCAGAGAAAAGATGGATCGAGACAAAATGGAAGAACAACAGAATCCGGTGCGACCTCGTGTCTTTGGTTTATGGGAACACTGTTAAAGTCAAGTTGTTGCAAAGAGAAAGAGGGCTCCTGGTGTTTGCCTAACTTTACAAACCAGCATGAGTCTGTTTGCCTACGGACTACCATCCTTTGAAGTTAATGATTAAATTGTGCCAAAGTCTAACTGTTTTAAGTTTTCTGACTAAACGGATCAGGAAACTAGTCAAAAGCAACATCTTTGATACATTTTGGATCGTACACAGTGTTGAATACTGTCAGATCGCAATCATTTCAGATGAATATTAAACTAATCAAGGAGGTAGTGGAGAACGATGGCAGATTTCTGTGCGCATACAAATTCAGATGAACTAATTGTCTCTTTGCATGTCTGTTTTGCATGTGATGTGTGCACCTTTATTTGGCCCAGTGTAAGAGGAAGTTGAGGGTGTGTGTAGCGACATGCAACAGAGCAGATTACTCCAAGTTGGCCCCCATCATGTTTGGGATCAAATCCCACCCTGATGAGTTTGAACTGGAAGTGGTTGTGCTTGGGTCACATCTCATTGACGACTACGGGTAAGACTGGCTCGCTTTCTTTTTCAAGAGGTGTTCAGATTGATTTTTGGTCCTCCTCTGAATTTGCTGCTACATGACATGTTTCCATGCGCACCTCTCCCGTCCCTGTCCCCCTTTAGGAACACTTTTCGAATGATTGAACAGGATGACTTTGACATCGGCTCAAAGCTCCACACTATTGTTCGGGGAGAAGACGAAGCCGCTATGGTTGAGAGTGTTGGGCTGGCGCTGGTGAAGCTCCCTGATGTCCTACAGAGACTTCGGCCGGACATCTTGGTCGTGCACGGTGACCGATTCGACGCTCTTGCTCTGGCTACTGCCGCTGCTCTGATGAACATTAGAATACTTCATCTGGAGGGAGGAGAGGTGAGGGGGCGTCTCTGTGGAGCAGTATCCACTGAATGACTAATCTGTCGTCTAATTTGATGTGTTATCTGCACAGCTTATGATGTATTTGTGCCTTTTCCTTTAAAATGACTCTGTGAAGTAGCTACAGATGCGCTTATGAGAGCAGACGTGGATTGTAATGTATACTACATCAGTCCCCGCTTTATATATTCTCCAGGTCAGCGGTACAATCGATGATTCAATCCGTCACGCCATCAGTAAACTGGCCCATTACCATGCCTGCTGCACACGCATGGCGGAGCAGCACCTCATCGCCATGTGTGAGGACAGCTCTCGCATCCTCCTGGCCGGATGCCCCTCGTACGATAAGCTGCTGTTGACTCATCACAGAGATGAATACATGGACATCATCAAGAGCTGGTTAGGTATGCGGGATAGGAGTCAGGAATAAATACAAACTCAGTCATTCTAGGCATTTGCAGATCAAACGTCATCAGTAGGATGTTAATTTAAAACTATGTAAGTTCAGTGTTGAACTATTCAACCAAGGCGCATGTGTGTATCCATTTGTGTTGCAGTGAGAGTCTACTCTAGCACTCTGTTTTCAACATAGAGATACCAGAGTGAATTTCTTTGACTGGTTAAAGAACTAAACTCTTCTTGACAATGCTGTGAATCTTCAGCTATTCCAGTCGCTTGACTCTGAAGAGATTCTGCACGTCTGCGGGGTCTACCTGCTTGTATTATACGCTAAATGGGATTTGAAGTGCCTCCCGCTATTTTCGCAGGTGAAAAAGTACAGGACCATGACTACATCGTGGCGTTGCAGCATCCTGTCACCACAGACATCCAGCACTCCATTAAGATCTATGGGCTGATGCTGGATGCGCTGCTCTCCTTCAATAAGAGGACGCTCATCCTCTTTCCTAACATTGACGCTGGCAAGTTAAACTCAAACCTGGGGGCACTGGAAGCTCTGAACTCTTACCTCTGCTAGAACTTCTTCCTCTTGTGCTAACAGGAAGTAAGGAGATGGTACGTGTCATGCGGAAGAAGGGCATCGAGCAGCACCCCAACTTCCGGGCAGTGAAGCACATTCCATTTGAGCAGTTCATCCAGCTTGTTTGCCACGCAGGCTGTATGATCGGAAATAGCAGCTGCGGCGTGCGAGAGGCCGGGGCCTTTGGCACACCAGTCATTAACCTGGGAACAAGGCAAACAGGCAGAGAAACCGGTATGTCACCTGCTGCACCTGCCCTTGTGTGATCTTGATTTCCGTAACGTATTTGATTCCAGAGCTTATTCAGAATTTCCAACTTGATATACATTTAAACTACATGAACTCGATATTTGAGAGCTGCCACAGGCAATTGATGGGGAAGATTTCAAATAAAGTTTGAAAATATCAGAAGGCGGGAGGGGTTAGGGTTAGAAAAAAGCAACAGATAACATTTGCTAATTTTTCTCTCTTTCAGGTGAAAATGTCCTTCATGTCAGAGATGCTGACACTCAGAATAAGATCTACCACGCTCTGGAGCTGCAGTTCGGAAAGAGATACCCCTGGTATGTACCAGTCGTACCAGGTTTTTGGTGCCTGCTTTTCACTTTTAGATATACTTTTATAATTTGTTATTTTATTTTGATACTTAATGAGATACTGTTGCATCTCAAATATCAAAGTGTAACATTTTATTTGGTACGTTGAGCTTGCTGAAGCTTGAAGAAGTTATCCCACAGTTGTACAAATGAAAATGATTCACTCCTGTCCGCATTGTGTCATAAACAAAATAATCAGGGTGGAGGCACAAAGGTGCAGCACTTTCAGTTGGCACATTGTAGTTGTTCTTCCTGTTTGGCTCTGCAGACCGGTATTGTCTTTGCTGGATTCGTTTTGTGTTAACTCAGAGATAAATTTGCATAATCGTCCTGTTTACATTGTTTAAACATTCCCAGTATACTACTCATTAAAGTTCAAAGCCCTCCCAAGAAATTAGCGAGCAGCAGTTCCTCTCATAACTTATTTGGACTGTTTTTGAAAAAATGTTTAGCAACAAAGGAGCAACATTTGACATCTAGAGGACTTATATTAAGTTAAAGAATTAATTTTTGATCTTCATTCCAGAGAGTGATTTGTACCGATGAAGAAGACTGTACCAATGAAACAGCAAAGCTTAATCTGATCTTATTTGGCAGGTTGTACAGCCTGCTGTTTTTGGAATGCACGCTAGTAATTGAACTCTGATCACATAAGAATGTGAACTTGTTCTGGAAAAGAGAGTAAGGACGAAAGGGGCCGCTTGCTTCAAGCAGATGTCATGTAAAACCCCAAAGTTTATGCTCGCTTCCTGTCTTAAAGTTGCTGTTTGAGTAAAAGGTTGTCCCATGTGAATCAGACAAAAAAAAACACAAGTCCTGTCAGTCTAGCACAAAGTTTAAGGTCAGCAGTGAAATCACAGCTGTATACGTGTACACATCACAGGGATACACATTTGCTTATGTGCACTGTGACGCACATTTGACCTTTTCACTATTTAAAAAGCAAAAGCGTTTCTTTCTATCCAGTTCCAAGATTTATGGAGACGGCAGCGCAGTGCCTCGTATTCTCAAGTTTCTGCGTACGATTGACCTGGACGAGCCCCTCCAGAAGACTTTCTGCTTCCCTCCTGTGAAAGACCCCATTTCTCAGGATATCGATCACATTCTGGAGACTCGGAGTGCTCTGGCTGTTGATCTGGGAGGGACCAACCTCAGAGTGGCCATTGTGTGCATGAGGGTGGGTTTTATTTGAGCTCTGTTTGTGAAGCTTTAATGTAGAGTAAAAGGAGCAACATTATGCAATCTTAATAAAAAATGTATTCTGTTTCAAAGGAATGATACATCAAAAAGATTAATATTTCATTTTCGAAAATGTACCCTTTTTTTTTTTTTTTTAATTTTTGTTTGTTTTTTGTATATTTTTAAATTATTATTATATTATTTTTCATTTTTTTTTTATTATTAAAAAAAAAAAAAAAAAACACTACCTTAACAGATATTGTTTTAGTTTGACGCTAACCAGAATTCTAACCTTTCATTGGAAAACTGTTATGAAATAAACTCCCCCATATTGAATGTGTAATAAGGGCTTAATAATGATGATATTAAGCCCTTACATTCTCAGATCCCATCTAATCATCCATTTGGTTTTCCTATTCTCTCTCCATCTTGTTTTATTTTCCCTTCTCTCTAACAGGGAAATATCGTGAAGAAATACACAGAGGCCAATCCAAAGACATTTGAGGACAGGATGTGTCTGATATTAAAGATGTGTACAGATGCCATGCGGGATGCAGTGTGCCTCAACTGTAGAATACTTGGTGTCGGTATGAAAAGGCTTACAACTCAAACCCATATTATTAAAAGCAAACAAAGCACGCTTCGTTTTGTTTCAGCGTCTTTAAAATCTGCCTTTAAGGAATCTCCACCGGAGGCCGCGTAAATCCACAAGAGGGGGTCGTGCTACACTCCACCAAGCTGATCCAGGAGTGGTCTTCGGTGAACTTGAGGACGCCCATCTCGGACGCCTTGCACCTGCCTGTTTGGGTGGACAATGATGGCAACTGTGCCGCATTGGCTGAGAGGAAGTTTGGCCATGGGAAAGGAGTGGAAAACTTTGTCACGGTTATAACAGGAACAGGTAAACAACAGGATTCCTGTAGTATGCGGGCCTGCAGTAAAGGCTGTTATTACATTTTTTTATGGTGTAATAGATAGGAAGAAATTCTTATGTCTTATCTGATTTGACGTTTCAGACATTCCGTCCAGTTTGTTAGGGTCAAGAAAGATTAGTCTATTAATTTATAACCTAAATGATGGCAGCCTTACTGACTGCCCGTTACCCCTAGTTAAAGCATAGTCATTTAAGTGATTTTCAGTTTGAAGTTAAGTAAATATTTTGTCCTCCTGTAGGTATTGGAGGAGGAATTATCCATCACAACGAGCTGGTTCATGGCAGCACCTTCTGTGCTGCTGAGCTCGGTCACATTATGGTTTCTCTGGACGGTCCCGAATGTTCCTGTGGCAGCCATGGCTGCATAGAGGCCTATGCATCCGGCATGGCACTGCAAAGGGAGGCCAAAAGGCTGCACGATGGTACGGCATTCTTTTTCTTTTTTTAAACTCCGGGAAAAGCACCAAAAAAACAAAAACAATTATTTACAACATTATCCATTGTTTCCTTTTGAACAGAGGACCTGCTGAAGATAGAGGGGATGGATAATAAACTCTCTGAGCCAATCACAGCTGCCCACCTCATCAGTGCAGCCAAACTGGGAAACTCAAAGGCTGATGCTATTTTGCACAAAGGTCAGAGCACAAACCAGTTCCCAGTTACAGTCTGGTCTTGCATGTAGGGATTTATTTTTTATAGATGGGGCTTTTGGTGTGACAAAGTAAGATGTTAAATGGAAAAAATGGAATGGAATGGTTTGGATGCTTTTATATTCCGCTTTGCTCTAGTTACACATTGAAAGCTTACATAGTGTAGAAAAACTAAATTGACTGTCTTTTTTCTCTTGCAGCATCCACAGCACTCGGTGTTGGGATCGTAAACATCCTGCACATAGTAAACCCATCACTGGTGATTCTGTCTGGAGTCCTTGCCTCTTTTTACCAGGGTCCAGTTCAGCACATCATCTCAGAGAGAGCTCTCTTATCTGCCCAGAACATCAAGGTTGTCGCCTCAGACTTGGAAGAGCCTGCTTTACTTGGAGCTGCAAGCATGGTGTTAGACTATGCAATGAGAAGAATATACTGAGGGATCTTTAGTTGTCACTCTTTCCTTTTTTTTTTTTTTTTAAATGATTTGGTGACGGTCAACAACAATTTATTGAAGTTACAGTTTCATAATGAAAATGGGCTATAAACGTATGCTCACTGTGTTAATTAGATGGGTATTCACTTTAAATGTATTCATTGCATATTTTTTTCTTTATGTAGCGGTTTCTTTTTCAGGGGCTCAAATAGATTACGGTACATTATTATGGATGCTTTGCCTTGGGATTATTGAGCTGGCCTTAATTGTTATTCATAGATCCTGCCTTTAGTTTATTGTTTAGGAAAAGAATGCAGCTCATTTGGGCTAAATAGCACTTGGACTTTGACCTGGCCTTTAACTTCTAAAGCTGCTCTGGGTTTGGCATCATTGTCTCAAAACTGTTAAGCCCATATCCAGGAAATGTTCCTGCATTTTGCTGTCTTGTTTTTCTTTAGCAGACTGGATATCCAAGTACAGACTAAATAATGCTGCTTCTTTCATCTAACATGATTAGTGACCTGCGCCATTTAAACTGTTTGTGCCAGTGCCTTTACCAAATTTTTGTAAAGTCTAAGAACAGTCTGTTTCGCTTGCATAGAAAGCTTAATTGACCACATTGAGGATTTGTCATTAAAAAAGAAATTAGAATTCTTGAAACCTTTCAAAGATTCATAGTTTGATATCTTCTTATCAGAGCTGAACGCCTTAGCTTATGGTTTCATTTCATTATATAACTGTAACTTTAGTTTGTTTTGTTAAACAGCAGGGGTAACAAAGCTGTCCTAACTGTCCAAATATTTCTTAACCCAACTCTAGTTCTGATATAGTAAAGACTGCTTCCAACAAGAGGACCCAAAACCTGGCTGTAGTGCCAATGCTACCCATTAAAATGAATTCTTCAAAGAGAATTTGTAAAGCTTGAGTGATAGCTGATGTTGTGAAATCACTATGCCAATGTGTTGTTTGAATTTCAGTTTTCTAAAAATCCAGCCTCGTTATATGTTGCCTAAACTGAAATCAAGGTTGTAGACCCATAGGTTCTCTGAAAAAAGCATCAAATGTGACCAAAATATTGCAGACATTCTCCTGTATAGAAGCGTTTTATTATTATTATATATTTCTTTCTTGATTGCTTTTTTTAAAGATTTTTTTTCCAATTTTATATGAATCTTTTAAGAAAATCAACTTGTTTCCGAATATATCTTACTGAGAAGAGAGGTACTAACCGCTTATGGGACATTTCCATGTTTTGTTATTAGTTGAATTATTCTACGGTGGTATTTATCAGATGCTAGGACTATGCTGGCATATAAATTAAATGTTAAGGCCAAAACTGCTTTAACCTTTTGACTTCTGTGTTTTTTCTTTTGTATGCATTACATTACTAATAACCATTAGGGTAGCTTTTTACATATAACATAGATGGTCGTACATGCAATACAATACATATAATACTACACACTACATTGTACATTATGTGATAGTTTTAATGTATAAATAATTGTCTACATGGATTGATGTTGGTCCAAATAATTAATTAACATTTCAAGTATTTCCAAAAGATGGACAATGTAGAGTTCAAAACAAAATAAAACATACTTGATATAGTTGCAAAAGCCCAGTTTAGAATATTTCAGGTTCTGCCTCCCTCCACCACCCACACAGTTACACCAATTCATGATCACTGAAGGAATTGCCATCAAGCCTTTGACACTGCATTTAAAACTAATCCATTTGCTCCCAGCTACATGCGTACTTCAAGTGGCTCAGATGAGTTCTTGCTTGTCACCTGAGCCCTTTGAGACGGTCAGCGATGTTAATTATTAACCAGAAGGTCATGAGGCTTGGTTGGGGTAGAATTGTCTGTGTTGCCAAGCAAAGACCCAGATAGGAGAAATAACAAATAAAATAATGCTCTCTAATTTGATTAAGGCAAAACGATGTGATTTCATTAGTATTTTAAGAAGTGTTTGTGTGTAAAGCTGAAATAAAAGTTAAGAAGGCTATTTTTACAATACTGCTGTCAGCATAATGGGCTCTGAGGCAAAATGGAAATTATTGGTAAAGCTTTTGAACTTTTTAATGCCATACAAATGTGGCTCTTTTATCAGCAAATCCTAAAAGCAAATACCATGAATGACACTGGATTCATTTCGTTCCATCTTTCTGTATATGTGTGAGACATGTAGAGCGTGAATTTGGCCTAAAGACACAGAGAATGCGGATTTTTTTACGCCTCTGACATGAGCACTGTGCGTAGCAGGTCATGGGACCTATATGCAAAATTTACAAAGATCCTATTGGTCGAGCTGTGAGGCAGCTATTATATGATTGGCCAAAACAACTATCAATAATATATGCTACTTTGCAATTGGTTATTATTCCGTTTCCTCTTTCTTGACGTCAAATTTTTTTCCACTCGTCCTTCCTCCCGTTGAGCTGGTCGTTCTCCGTGGATTGCTACACCTGTCTTCCGTTTCTTGCTTTATCTCTCCACAAAAAAGACCACCATGGATGATTTTGACATGTTGAACGCACCTGCCGCTGGAAACGGTGTCGGCTCAGAGGAGGATCCCGCGGCAGCTTTTTTGGCCCAGCAGGAGAGCGAAATCGCTGGGATTGAGAACGACGAGGGCTTCAGCATCCTGGACAGTGGAGAGGTGCCCTCGTCGCTGGCAGACGGTGCGTTACTGCTGCAGTCAAACGCAGAAAGTTTGCCCTTTCTAAGTGTTATTTTCCTCCTGTAATCATTATTATTTGGGTAAATGCTTTCCCTTAATTTAACATTTTATAAGAACAAAAACGGTAACAAGACACCGAAGTTGGTGCGCTAGCTAATGCTAACTGTGCTAGCAGATTTGGTACTGTCAGGGTTAGTTAACGTTCATATAAATTGTAAATGACATGTCTCCATTTTCCAAAAGGACACGTGAAAACAGACAATTTTCGTTTTAATGTCAATATTGCGTTGGGAATTGAGTGTTTGCACGGGTTTTTATAATTTCTTTTAAAAAGAACTCCATGTTTCTGATGATATCAACTCAACGGTTCATGGCCGTCATTCATTTTGCCTTCAGTACATCTTAACTTTTGGTCGGCGGCTAATTGTACCGCCACCAGAGAATATTCATACAACTCGACAACCTTTGGCCGTGACTGCTCATTTCCTCTAAACTGTGGCATTGCTGTGGTGTAACAATTGTAACCGTAGTTAGAAATGCTGACATGTCATACTTGTATGACAATCTTGATGATTTCAAGTCTGAATGATTGACGTCACCATTTGAGTACACTTAATTCCTGTCTCTTTTAATGTTTTATATCTGATGACTGTTTCTGCTGTCTTTTTTTTTTAGATGGCACTGTCAATGGAGAGCTCCATGGGGTAATACTTTTTAACTGCATTTTCTAGGAAAATAAAGATCACTTAGTTGTACAGAAATAGTCAACTGTTTTATATAAGTTTTGAATTAATAAGTGTGGCCAAGCTTTTGTCTGTTGTATTTGTGAATGTCTGTCAGTAAGATATCTGCTCTTCTGTAATGACTTCACTTTGACTACGCTCAAAGAGTATTTTATCAAAAAAGATTAAATGCACACAGCCTTACGTTTGACAGTTATATGGGAAATACTCATTTCGTTGGGACATAAAACAATGGGTGTGTAATAAAAATATATTGGATAATTTGCCATTTGTATCCCCAGAGTAAAGCATAATGACTGTAATTATACCCAACAAGTTTACTGTTCAGATCTGCAAACTGAACTACCTTGTTACCTGTGGGAAAACTACATTAAAATTATCTTTATGGAAGAGTATTTTGTTTATTCAGAGGTAGAACTACAATCTTTCAAATCAAAAAGACATGAGCAATTGTTGCACAGACCAGCCACAGCATAGCTGTACGTGTTGTGGTCCAGGTGATTCCAGCTATGATCCTTATAACCTGTTTGGTCTCAGAGGCCTTTTAAATTGGATACTTAGGCTATTGCTTTGTACTACACACGTAAACATAATTGTTTAAAGTGTAGGAGGTATGGGACAGATTTCAGAGGGCATTGAAGATGTTCATTTTGCCAAAGCGATGCAGCAAGACTTAAGTATTGAACTTGTGGGGTTGATGATCTTTCTGTTCGAGCTTCCTTTTCCTGTGCTGTCATTGCAACATTTCTTCCTTCTGCGCTGTCAGGGCTTTTGGTAGTGAAATCAGCTCACTTCTATGAACAGAGGCACTGTCAGAAAGTTTGCAAAGAGACACAAAGGGCCCATTCCATTGTATGTGTGGTTATCAGAAAAGGAGAATATTTAATTTCTTGAGGATGAGAAGTCCCAGTTTTCAGAACCTTAACTCAGTAATTATTTCTAACTTACGTTGTTTCTGTAATGCCTTAGAGTTAATGGTATCTTGTTTTGCAGGAAAGCAACGGCCCATCAGATGCCTATGCAGCAATTTCCAATGCTGATCGACTGCAGGCCGAACCTGAAAGTCTGCGCAAATGGAGAGAGGAACAAGGCGAGAGGCTGGAAGTGCTGGGTAAGTACAGAGTGGAATAATGAAGAAAAAGTTTTCCAGAGCAGTTTTTGTCAAGGACACTAGTAATTTAATGGCGTTATCATTTACTGTGCCTCCGTCCCCTGTGCTGTCATTCAAAACCTCTAGCTTTATCACCAACTCCTGATTTTTCCACATCTCCTACATAATCTGAACAGTTTCTCTTTAGAACAGCCCCAAGGTGTCGTTCTATACACACTGTTGAGCACAGCACAAAGGTGTGGAAAGGGTCCGTACTTTAAAATGCTCAGGTCTGATCAGCTCAGCCCTGTTTTGCTTTGCTGTCCCCTGACGACATCATAACGAAACATTTCCATTCAAACATAGTTTTGTTCTTATGGAGATTTGATCACTCTTCCATTGGTGTCCCATTGGATAATTTCCTTTGGTGGACTTTTGGTGCACTGAATAAATAACTAGATGTTTATTTTCGTTTTCACTGCTATGCCTGCTGACCTGAGTATGAAAGAAATAAACGTGAAATGAAGTGCACCTTTAGATATTTACTATATTATTTTCATTTCTCTAGGATCCCATCCAGCTTTTTAATGAGCACCTCCATCTTCACAGATCCAGTGTTGGCATCTCCTGCTTTGTCCAGCAACATCTTCTGCTGCTGTGTTGATAGTCAGTCTTTTATTTGCCTTTTCAGATGCTAACTCCCGCAAACAGGAGTCTGAATGGAAAGAGAAGGCGAAAGTGGAGCTGGAGGAATGGCATGCCAGGCAGAACGAGCAGCTGGAGAAAACAAAATCCAACAACAGGTACTGGCTTCTTCACAGAAAGGAAAAGGAGCCACAGACGAATAAAGTAGGGAAGGACATCCTTTTAGGGAATAGATTACCTGGTTTAAAAAGTAAAGTGTAACCCGAAAAATATTTAAACGAAGCATAAACCAAATCAACTGGATTTATTATTAGGAGCAGCATTTTATGTGACAATCATTTGGTTAAGTGAATTGTTTAGAGTAATGACACTTTAATTGTGACACTTTTTTGAAGTTACTCTCTGGCCTGTGATTTTTTTGTAAGTGTAAAGAGACATAGGTGTTGACACTCCACTTGTCCTTGAAGAAGACGGACCCAGTCATCTGAAAGTCTGGGTGACTCTATTTAGAAGCCAGAGATGTTGACTGCATGTCTGAGCTTGCCATTGTCTTGGTAACTGATAACACTTGTTTCCATCCTCTCCTCCCTTTTACTGCTTTCTCTCTTCTCTCCCGCCTTCTTGCTGCTCTATCGATGGGCGGATGTTTGTCCAGGGTGCTGGACGAAGACTTCTACAAGCAGCCCTTCTCTGAACTCATTGGTTATGTGTATGTTGCTCCAACTAACATCCTCCTTTCTTTATTTTTGCTTTTGTTAACTCGATCTGTATCAGCCACTGACATATCCATCTCATTAGTCCGTGAAGTTTTGTGTTTTGCTAGGTTTAATCGCCAATAATTTCAATGGTCCCCCCCAAAAAAAGAAAATTCATTTCAACCCCATGTTGTCTGCATGACTTATGTAAGTGGATGTCTGTCAGAAAAATTAATTCAAAAAGTGCATATGCATGCAGTTTCACCAGAGGTAGACCGTTCTTTGTTTTGGCTAACAATTTTTTCAAATCTTTTCTTTTTTTTTTTTTTTTTTTTGTGGAGGTTTGCTCTGGCAGCTGCTTTCATCACCAAAGCCAAGTAACACTGAGACATGTTAGGGCATGAAAGAGGTAGACAGGAAAGGGAAATGATTAATATCTCTTGTCTGCTCAGAGAACTGCACAGAATTTGGTCAGGCTTTCTGTCTTTTTCTTTTTTTTTTTTTTTTTGAATGTCTAGAGATCAAAGACGCACTCCAGAGGCTACTTGTTTCACACAATCGCTAAAAAAGTGTGTTTTCCAAGCCGAAACATTTAACGTTTATTTCAATGGTAGTCTTAAGAAAGTTTTTCTCCCAGATAGGAGAACCATTACAACTTTAAATCTGATGTAGCCTGCATTTGGTACATTTAGAGTCCAAATTTGGAAACGTAGCTAATTCTTATCAAGGGTTCAGGTAATGAGCCTTTCTGCTCCGATGACTCGTATCCGTGTTCAAACATCCACTGTCGGTCTACTTCAAAATTACACAGACTGCAACGATCCTCAGTCACATCCATGGAACATATTCATCCCTTCATCCCTGCCTGTCTTTCTCCATTATTCATTCATCTGTGCCCGTTCTAAAAAAAAAAAAACGTTCTGGCAGATACAGTTTGTTTGTCCCACTATTAACATTTGCTTGTACAAGATGTAAAAACTCTCAAAATGTTTAGTTTGATGCCTTTTATGAATGTTGTTGTTCTCTCACATGACAAAAAAATGAGTTATTCAGAAGTGAGATGCCTACAAATCTGTTTGAAGCAGTCGTGTCTCAGGAATGCGGCGTGTTGACGTCGTTATTTCCTGAACTTGCAGGGTTTGTATTTAGTAAGGCTTCGAAAAAGAGGTTTTCCATAATCTTTCATCGCCTGGCAGTAGTTGGTGCTACAGTTCCATATTTAACTTATTGCACCTATAACTATTTCCCTAACTAAACAACTGCTTCAAACTCAGACTTTTTTTTTTTTTTTCATGCTTTATCTGAATTGTAGCTGTTTTGTAGCTACTGCTGTCCATTAGGATCACATGCTTTTTTGTCCAGCTAGCTACCCAGTTGCTTTAGCCGTGCAGCCTTTGGTTTCACCATCAAACTGTTGAGCTCTGTTGCTTCACTCTGCACAATGAAGGCTGAATCACAGCCCTTCATGCTCCTGTTTTCGATAAACAAATACTCTTAAGGTAAATGCGGATATGAATCGGGCAAATTAAACTTCCCCCTAACCCACTTTCCAAACCAAAAGCTGCACTCTAATAAATTTCTATGAGGAAAAGTAAAGAAAGAATAATTCAAATGTTGCTTTTGCATGCTGGCTTTCAGCAAATGGCTCATTTTGATGTTTTGTTTGATTTTTTTCCCATTCCCTCACGCTCTATCTCTTTTTCTGAATTCTGACCTGTGAAACTGTTTCTCCCTGTTTTCTTTTCCTATGCACCTTAAAGCACACACATTAACCATCCTTGCTACCGCCTAGACCAGTTAAGTAAAAACATAAAACCCCAGAACCTCCAAATATATTTTGGACAGGGAATAGATAGTTTTGTGACTGTGTGTGTAGTGCATTTGCCCGTCCGTTAGAGCCACTGCCTTGGTACAAGTTTGGTGTAATCTCCCTTAATTGATGTTGTCGTCCCCTTGTGTATTTGTAGTTAGATGTGTTAGTGAATGTCCATTAGCTTCTCATCTCCCATATTGCTTTGTGTACTGTGTTTAAGTTTGTAGGGTAGTGTTTGCAGTCGGGGTGGGAACTAGAACACTGCAGATAGTGTAAATAGAATGGCAGTGGTGCTATGTCTGTGTATGGGAAGTGTGGAGGACCATATTCTCTGGTTGGTACCATCCCTTTTAAATGTGTGTTTTTTTGTTTTTTAACTCCTTTTTTATGTTTTGTTAACTTGTATTTGGTCCTTTTTAGTGTCTCTTTTCCATAGATAAAAAAAACAGTTTTATTTTGCCACATTTGTGACATCAAAACAAAGTGAACCCATTCTATTTGTCTCCTAAACAACACAAAAGCCTGCTCTTCTGCCACAGCAAAATGCATGGCTAATGCCCAGTAGTGCTTCCAGTTCATTTGGGCTTGGTTAAAAAAAAAATCTAAAAGCTCTTGCCTGTATTGTTCCCATATTTTCAAGACAAAGTATAGGGATGAGTTTATTATCCCAATGCTTGGTTCTTGTCTTTGGAAAACTGCAACCACAAGGCAAGGCTAAAGTACGGGTGGGTTATCACCCGTCCCCCTCAGTTCTGTGTAGAACTGCATTTTTAACCAACCAAAGTGCTCATCAGGCCTTCATTTCTTTTCTTTTTGTAAGTAATTGTTTTGGTATTTTTCTTAATTGTTGGTTTCTATATTGACCCCCTCCCCCCACTGTTGAAGATTGTTCAACTGTACAGGCGACTGTAGTTTGACATGTAGTGGAGTTGGGGGCATGCTGCAGGTTTGGAAGCTGTGACAGTTTGTTTCTTTTCATCGTGGATGTAAAGACATGCGATTGTCTCTGCGTGGTAGCTGGAGCGCTCCGGCATGGGAGAGACTCTGCTGAATTAAAAAGTCCAGCCTGACAAAAAGCTGTGGGAAGCCTGACTGTTAAAGTTTAGCAGCAATATTTATTTTTTTTGCCAGAAGTTAATGTGTATGAGCTAAAGCTCAACAAAACAGCTGTGCTGCGGACCCCCGAGTCTGCCCCCAGAAATTTGGTTGGAGCTCAGCAGAGGCATTTCTCATGGCGGATTTGTGTATTTTTGTCTTTTATGTCATCCTCCACTGACGATGCTTTTGGCCTCCTCTGTTACGTCTAGGGCGGCTGAGGAAGCCATGATTTCAGATCTGGACGAGAACAACCCGGGCACAGAGTGGGAGCGAGTGGCTCGGCTCTGCGACTTCAACCCCAAGTCCAGCAAGCAGGCCAAAGATGTGTCCCGCATGCGCTCCGTCCTCATCTCCCTGAAGCAGTCCCCGCTGGTCCGCTAGGCACCACATGCTGCTCGGAGCATCATTCCATATCATTATTTCTCCACCACACACCAGCCCAACGACAGATGTCACACCATTTGTATTCTGAGGACTAGAGGGCTCTCCTCCCTTCTCTTCATGTCTTTTTTACCAGGAATGGCCCTCCTTTCCCCCCCAGTGGAAGGACACAGCCAGAGGTCCTTCTCCCATCTGTGTCCTCCCAGCAGGGCTGTAGAGATTAGCCTTGATTTACCTCTTCACCATTTCAATCCACTAAAAAGACCAGTTAGATTTGGACCAGGTCACATGGTCTGTTGTCCGGTGTAATACTGTAAGGGTGGTGAGTTGGGACACTAAAAGGGAAGAGTTGGAGTTTGTTTGGTTCCACAGCTACACTACATCCTGCCCCCTCCCTTAAGCTCCCAGAAAATATCATTCCTGTAATGCTGTGCTGTAACTCTTAACCTCTCAGTCTTATACATCATACATAAACCGTTTAGGGTTGGAATACTTGGTGGTTTTATTGGCTTTTGACCTCCCAACATACTCCCTCATGTGTTGTCCTAAAGAAAAATATCAGCAGTTTATTTTTTTGTTTGTTTTTTTTTTTTCTAAGGACCAAACTCTTAAGACAAACTCCAAATTCAGTGTGTGTACTTTGAACTGTGTGTGTAGTGCCTGCTTGTGGCATATCGTGTTATATTTTTCAATCTATGCATTGTCTTTTGAAAGCCTCTTCCTCTCCAGTCAGAATTGAACAAAGTCCAGTCATTACAATATTTGTTTGTGTTAAGACCTCAATGGTGTGTGTATGTACTTTATACGTGTACCTATGTACATATACAGAAGACAATATATATACAGTATATAAAATGGTGTTGTCACTGAAATTAGACAGTTGTGGTTTCAAAGAGAACTAGATTCTAGCCAGCTGATGCTTGACCATGTGTGTTCATTGTCCATTTGATTTCAATAGCAGTAAAAACTAAATGAGACCTGCTGTCTTGTCTTTCTTCAACTGGACATTTGCATCCCTATTAATGTGTTGTGTGCAGTGCCTGGAAGGATGGATCTTACTTTGCATTTGTTACTTTGTATAGTTGATAATGGGTCTGGACAAGGTTGCAGTCACAGCTAGTTCACCAGTCAGAAGAACTATACCCAGCAGCCCATTAAGGAATTAGTTCCCCCAAGTAGGGGGCAACCGGTACAGAGCTACCGGGGGCCGGAAGGGGGCTACCGGTAGGCGCTCACTCAGAAGCCCCTATAGTGCAGTAAAATAGTGAAGATTAGTAAAATGAATAGCCAGTGGTCAGTCAGGCAGTGACGTAGAGATGATGGCAATGACAACAGTTGAAAAGCAGCTTTCACGCAATTCAGTGAGATCTTTTCTGAGTTCCCCTTTCGTGAGAAGGACAATGGTGAAAAAAAAATCCATGTAAAGGAGCTGGGACCTGACGAGCCCAAAATAAATTTAACGCAGAGAACCGATGAAAAAGCTAAGTCCCACAGGAGTAGCAGGAGTTGGTTCCAGCGTAAGTCCTGGCTGACAACCTGTGGCACGGCCCATGCACTTTTTTGTGTTCCCTGCCTTTTTAAAAGTGACTGGAGTGATTTGACGTGGACACAGTCTGGACAGACAGACTTAGAACATCTCTCTGAACCATTAAGAAACATGAAAGATCAAGAGTTCATATGGAACACTGTGTTAAGCTAACCGTGTTAAGCTAACCACCTGTGTGCCTACTTTGTGTGTTTGGTGACAAATAGTGAAATTGAGTGTTGTATTTCATACTGTTCCTTTTCAAAATAAGACCTAATATAGCTTCAAATGGTTAACTGTATATGTAAACAGCTGATTCTGACAAGGGAATTAAATGTTTATTGAGGAATCGTAGTAATTGTCCGACTTTTAACTTAAAGGCATGTACTGGGTTAGGCAGGGAAATTTATCAATTACATCCCGCTGCATCCTGCGGGAAGGCGCCGCTTGACGTCAAGCCCCGCCCACATCAAGTCACATCAAGTGATCAAGTGATGCTACTCAAATTTATTGCCACACCAGCCCCAACAAGATTTTGTTTTCACCAACCGCCCCTGGCAGACGTCCACAGACGCTGCAGCGAAAGGTCACTCTCCGGGTCGGCTGCCCCCTTCACACTTGAACCTTCCACTTTGTCCAGTTGTCACCGAAATCCTTCAGTTGTTTTTACAGTTTGCTTTGATTTAACATTCAAAATGCCTTTGGAGTTTGAGCTGTGCCCCGGTCGAATGATTGGAGGGAACCACCCGTGTTTCGTCATTGCAGAAATTGGGCAGAACCATCAGGGAGACATTGAGATTGCCAAGAAAATGATAAAAATGTCAAAGGTAAGCTGAAACTTGGTATATTTAAAATGATTCATGCCTGTCTTTCTCTTGAACAGCTTACTCATGCACTAATTAGATGAGGCCTTGTTAAATTGTATTTAAGATTTATGGACGTTTACATTGTAAATACATTTATCATTGATCATCTAGTCAGAACTAATTCTGCACCAGCAATTGTTTCAAAACATATCACTTTTTCAAATGATCTCTGCATGGTTTCATCCATCCTCTTTGCCCACCCGGAGCTATTTTTTGTTTAATGACTTTGCCAGTGTGAGGACTTCCTTCATTTCTGCTCACCAAATGACCAGTTGAGCTGTATGAATCATCCTTCGACAGGTTAAATTTACTGATGGCACCAATGTTTGCTCTACCACTGAATGTGAACACCCACATTTAACAGAGTCTTTTCAGTTTGCCCAACCCTGTAGGGCTTCTGAAAGACGAGATGCATTGTATAATTTGTTAAACCAGTCTGACACTAATCAAAGGCTACCGACACCCTACTGATGCATCCATCAGGGTGTGATAGAGAAAGAGTACTGTGTAGCCTGTTCCACCTGTATGACCTAAGTACAGAAAATCATCTTTATATTGGAGATATTTTTTGTCTGTGTGAATTTCTTGGTTTGTGTTTTTGTCCCGTGCCACAACTGAATTTCCCTAAATCCACCTTTTCCAGGCATGTGGTGCAGACTGTGCCAAATTCCAGAAGACTGAGTTGGAGTACAGATTCAACAAGCGTGCCTTGGAGCGTCCCTACACCTCCAAAAACTCCT